TCAGCCTCCCAAAGGCGCGGGATTACAGGCTGAGCCACCGAGCCCGGCTTATTTTTACATAAATTTTAACCACTACCGATGGAAGTAAAAATGATTTAGGATCACCATGTTTTTGAAAACAAGTGCAGACTGCTTGGTTTTATACAAACTGTGGTTAGTCTTGGGCAGTAGTCAACATTGTCTAAGGCTGCTTTGCCGTTGGGGTTATGCTCTTCCTTTGATACACAAAGTTACACTTTGTAGCTGTGTGGTCAGGAATGTGGGAAGGAAGGCCCAAGTCTCTTTGAGGACCTGATGTAGTAGCTCCTCCTTGAGCTCTGAAGTGGATTGAGAAGCTGCTTTTTGATTGGGGATTGAGTGAATGACGTACCCTTGCTTTGCTTTGCAGCCTAGTGTAGACCAAGTCCAGTTACAAGGAAGGATAACTCCAATATGCTGTCTTTTTAACAGCTCTACTGGGGTAATTCACAGACCATACAGTTCACCTATTTAAAGTATATAATTCAGGGTTTGGGCAACCATCACTATCATCCACTCTTAGGGCATTCTCATCATCCCAAGAAGGAACCATCTGCACATTTCACAGTTGCTCTCCATTCCCACTCCACCCTGCCCCTGTCGACCGCTGATCTGCTTTCTGTCTGTATGGTTTTGCTTGTTCTGAACTTTTTGTGCAAATGGAATCATAGAAGGTATCCTTTGATGACTGATGTCTTTCACTTAGCATCATGCTTTCATGGTTCATTTGTGTTGTAGCACATATCAGGACGTCATTCCCAAATATATTCCCTTGTGTGACTATATCCCACTTTGTGTTTACCGATTCATCTATTGACATCATTTGGGTTGTTTCCACTTTTTGGCTATTATGAATACTGCTGGTATGAACATATGTTTACAGGTCTTTGTGTAGACATATAGTTTCATTTCTGTTGGGTATACATCTAGTAGTGAAATCACTGGATCATATGGAAATTTTATACTTAATGTTCTGAGGAATTGCTGAGCTGCTTTCCATAGTGGAGTACTGTTTTACATTCCTGAAGCAGTGTAGGAAGTTTCCAGTTTCTCCACAACTTCACTAGCCCTTGTTACTGTCTATTCTTTTGGTTTTAGCCATCCTTGTGGATGTGAAGTGTTATCTCACTGAAGTTTAGTTGCTTTTTGTGGTTTTTTTTTTTTTTTTGAGTCCGGAGTCTTACCCTGTTGCCCAGACTGGAGTGCAGTGGCACAGTCATGGCTCACTACAGCCTCAAACTCCTGGGTGCAGACAATCCTCCTGCCTCAGCCTCCCGAGTAGCTTGGATTACAGGTGTGTGCCACTATGCCTGGCTAATTTTTAAATTTTTTTTAGAGACAAGCAGGTCTCATTATGTTCCCAAGCTGGTCTCAAACTCCTCCTGGGCCCAAGCAATCCTCTTGTCTTGGCCTCTCCAAATGCTGGGATTACGGGCATAAGCCACTGTGCCCGTCCTCACTGTAGTTTTTTTTTTTTTTCAAGAAAGATTTTTTTTTTCTTTTTTTTTATTATAAAGATGTGGGGTACAATTCAGGGTTAGTTATACATACATTGATTATGCAGGTACCTTGTTGAGGAGGTATGCCCCTCCCTCCCCTAGCAGTTTCCCTCAACTGCCAATCCCATCCCGCCTCCCCCGACAGTTTCCCATTACTGCCAAACGCTTTCTTATAGTATTATAATTGTTCAAGTTCTGCTTATGAGTGAGAACATATGGTACTCTGTTCTTTGTTTCTGTGGTAGATCACTGAGTATGATCGACTCCAGATCCATCCAAGCTGCTGCAAAGTCCATATATTTGGCCTTCTTTATGGCTCCATAATATTCCATTGTGTACATGTACCACATTTTCTTTATGCAGTCCAGCTTCGATGGGCAACATGGTTGGTTCCATGTTTTTGCTATTGTGAATAGAACTGCAACAAACATATGTGTGCAGGTATCTTTTGTGTAGAATAATTTGAGTTCCTCCGGGTATATTCTCAATAGGGGAATTGCAGGGTCATATGGGAAGTCAATTTCTAGTTCCTTCAGAAATCTCTACACTGTCTTCCAAAGAGGTTGCACTAGTTTACTTTCCCACCAGCAGTGTAGAAGCGTTCCTTTTTCTTCACATCCTTGCCAGCATCTGTTGTTGTTTGTTTTATTAATGATGGCCATTCTTACTGGGGTTAGGTAGTATCTCAATGTGATTTTGATTTGCATTTCACTGATGATGAGTGAGGCTTAGCACTTTTTCATGTGTCTATTGGCTGCCCGTATATCTTCTTTTGAGAAGTGTCTATTATGTCTTTTATGACTGTAGTTTTGATTTGCATTTCTATGGATTTTCTTTTCACTATCTTGATAGTCTTATTTGCAGCACAACATTTTAAATTTTGGCCAAGTCCGATTTTCCTGTTTTTTTTTTTCCTGTTACATATTTAAGTCTTTGCCTAATCCAAGGTCATGAAGATTTATTCCTATAAAGTGTTTTATAATTTCCACTCTGACATTTTAGGTCTGGGATCTGTTTGGGTTACTTTTTGTGTATGGTATATGAAAGGGATCAACCTTTATTGTTTTGCATGTACACATCTAGCTGTAGCTGTTCCAGCACTATTTGCTGGAAGAATGGATTTTCCCCATTGACTGTTTTGACATCTTTGTTGCTGCTACTTATTTTATAGATGCCTTTGAATGAGATATACAAGTCAATTTGTGTCTGTTTTTCCTGGATGATACAAGGTTTAAAAACATTTTCAAGAAATAAGATTTAGTAAGATTTTTGAGACCCCAGAACTGGCAGTCTAATGTTTCCTGTTAAAATAGTCGCATAAGGGTGGGCACGGTGGTTCACATCTGTATTCCTAGCATTTTGGGAGGTGGAGGCAAGAGAATTTGCCTGAGCCCAGAGGTTTGAGACTAGCCTGGACAACTTGCTGAGACCTTGTCTCCACAATAAGAAAAAAAAATTAGCTGAGCATGGTGGTATGCCTGTAGTTCAAGCTACTTAGGAGACTGAGGCAGAAGGATTGCCTGAGCCCAGTAGGTTGAGGCTACAGTGAACTATGACCCTGCTTCTGCACTCCAACCTGGGCATAAGAGTGAGATTCTGACTCAGAAATTAAATATAATAAAGTGATATCATACGAAACTATGAGTAACAGCTACATTTTTTTCTTCCTAGGGACCTCCAGAGGGCTCACAGAGTGGTGGCCGAGCTGCAGGCTGGAACGTGCTTCATTAACAACTATAATGTCAGCCCAGTGGAGTTGCCCTTTGGTGGATATAAGAAGTCAGGTGAGGAGCTGGGAAGTGTGAAGGGACCGGGCTCAGGGATACTGTCATCGTTCAGTCCTCATAGACCAGTATTCCTAAACCTGTGTATCAGATCACCTGGAAAAATATATGACTTCCTGGTCCTCCCCGGATCCACTGGATCAGTCTCCAGGAATGGAAGCCAGGTACCTTTCTCCATGCCCCACCCCCAGAAGCTCTCCAGAAGGTTCTAATGTGTAGGCCTGGTTTGCGAACTAGTGATACCCATGTCAAAAGGGTTTTAACTTACAGGTAAAATTGCTTTTCTTCCCAGTCTTTGATGTTGTAAGCATAAATTCACTCTGAGAGGTTCCCTGTTGGGGTGTCCATCATCATCTACTGCAGAGGTATTACATTCAGTAAATAAAGTGTCTCTAAAGTAGCAGCTCAGAAAGTGTATATTAATTTGTTTTCTCTATTATGACACATTACAATTTTTATTTTTATTTTTTATTTTTTTTCCCTTTTTTAAAATTTAAAGATGTGGGGTACAATTCAGGGTTAGGTATACAAATATTCATTGTTCAGATACCCTTGTTGATGAGGTGTGACCCCCCCCAGGCATATCTTGATTACTGTCAATCCCATTTCCCTGCCACCCGCCCCCCCGCAGTTTCCTGCTACTGTCAATCCTTTTGTTATAATATTACGGTAGTTGTTCAAGGTCCACTTATGAGCGAGAGCATGTGATACTCAGATCTTTGTTTCTGTGAAAGATCACTCAGTATTATAAACTCTAATTC